GATAGACAAATAACATACATGAACATGTACATGTATGTGTTTCAAAAATGCCACATTAAATAATGGTCGAAGTGGGACTGAAAAAATTATATAAATTTACGCAAACTTTAATTAAATAACTTGTTGAAATAACACAGATAGTGAATTAAATCAGTCAGTGTGTGGGAAAACCAGAGAGGGAAAACCTGAAAATTAATTAGCTAAAGTGCGAAATTTGGAAAATTGGAAAAATGGCAATCGGGAAAGAGAAAATGGATGAAGAAAGCCAAGTGGCAAGTCTGGAAAACCGAACTAAAACCAAAGTTGTGAGACAGCAAAAGAAGAAGATGCAAAATATGAACTAAGAAAGCACTGCAAGAAAATGGGGAAGGAAGAAAGCTGCCTGCAATGCCGTAAAAGGTGATGGAGAAAATATTACAAAGACATTAGATATTAAAAGGAAAAGCGGAAGAAATGTTGAAAGTGTAGAGATCAACAAAAAGAAACCAAGTGAGAACGTTGCTGTCGACGGCAAAAGATGGTTATACCAAGATGGTTATACCTCAGCTAAAAACTGGTGGTAAAGAGCAGGATGGGTGTAGCCAAGAATTTTCCGTGTTTCTTTTAAAGAAAAACCTTCAACCTTCCAAAATTTGGTAACTCTTGAGAGTTTTTGTTATCGATAAGTCAACGCTTATTGAAGACTAGCTCAAAAACTGAAGAATATCTCAAAGATCTTGAAGGACTTCACAAGCAATCTGCCAACTAAATTTAGTGACTATTGTTTCCAAATAATGCCAGATATTTGATGTTATCGGCTTACAATTATCGATTTCCCAGCGCCATAGTCGACGTAGTATCCCAATTTTGAACACTTGCTATAACATTGACAAGATATACAATTAATACAATTCACGAAAGATGAATCTGATATGCTATAATTAAATCATGGGACTATTTAAGAACATCATTTAAAACTTAAACAAAAAGCAGTGCATCATTTGTGAATGTCCGCTTTGGTCGTTTTTGTCAAAATGTCATCTTATATTAAGTTTCTGGGCATTAAAAAACTGACGCTGACATCAGTAAAACAAAAACCATTATTATCCTTTGTGCGGAGCTGATTTTTGTATTTTGCTTTCGCTCAATGCCATAATGATGGGACAGTAGTCGACAATGGGATTATAATGAACTTAAGCGAATAAAGCTCAATTTATTTCAACTGTAATTGCATATTAAATAATGCTTAACAAAAAATACAATAAAAAATACATATATATATATATGTATTTATCCAATTTCCTATGCTGTGTATCAAAAAAAGAAAACCAATATGTTTAGATTAAATAAAAAGGAAAAGGAACTCATCTCCTGTCTGTCTTAACACGCACATGTAAACACATGCCAAATGGCTCAAAGCCTCAGCAGAGCTTATGGCCAAGCATTAAAGACGCACACACAACCCTAGGACTGTCTGTGTGTGTGTGTGTGTGTGTGTGGATGGGCGTGTGGGTGTGGCTGCTAATCGGTAGAGCTTCATAATTCGGCAATTCGTTTTGCTGCTGGCATTAAGAGCTGCTAATTAATCAGTAAATGCTCCACAACACCGCCCCGCCCCTCCCCCCAATAAATGGGTGGGAGCATTGGTCCTGCACCAGCAGCACCAGCAGCACCACAGCACCACTTCAGCTACACGCATAAATCTCAGCTGCGTGGCTGCAGAGGCAGACACAGAGGGATAGTTCCTGATTGTGGTGGAAGGTGGTGCGGTTGTTTGTTGCAAAGACAACGCGGCGTATGAGTTATGTTAAATGCAGGCTAAGTGAGAGGCTGAGAACTGCCGCCAGAGTTGCCATCATTAATAATATTTTTAGTTTGCCTGCATGCGTAGCAGGCTGCGGTGCTGGCACAGGGGTTACACGCTGCTAACAAATGGAAGCCAACCAGTAACAGAAGAAGCACCCCGACTGACGATGGCGTATCTCTTGTTCGCCGTTACATGTTGCAATTAATCAAGTAGACAACAAATCTGGCAACGTCTGCGGCCAGAGTTGACATCGCTGCAATTCGATATAAGGGCGATGGGTGTGCAAGGTGTGTGCAAGGTGTGTGTTAGGTGTGTGTAAGGTGTGTGTGTGTGTGTGTGTGTGTGACTCTGTGTGGCTGTGTGTGAGTGTGTGGATTATGTCACCTTCAAAATGCCGTCACTTTAGCTTGTCTGTTGAGCTGTTTCAACTTTGTTGGCCCGGCAGTGAAAGCGTTTTATTACCTCCATCAAGTCAAGATTAAGTATATTCAATTTGAGGGCAAATGCTTGACATTTCTTTTTGTATTAAATAAAGAAATCATTTCGTTTTTTTATGTTATTGTTATGGGCTTTCTAGAGACAGGATTTCATTAAACTATACAAGAAATATTTATAATATTATATTTAAATACATTTGATTTACATTACAGTCAAACTTTCCATAACATTTTAGTAATTCTACAGTTTTTCTTACACAAATTTCATTAATTTCTTAAACACTTAACTACATTTCATTTGCTTCCATCTCAAAACGTTTTATAAATAAATAAATTTGGCATCACAATAAAATTGTTTAAATTGTATGCAGGCAGGCCTCAATATCGTGAGCCTATTTGCTTCTGTCTAATAACATTATTTATTTATTTCGATTATTAACTGCAAATAGGAATACGGAATTTGGCAAGTGCGGTTGATATGGCCATCGATGAGCGGCGCACAGTCAAAGCTATAAATACGACTTGGTCCTTAAAGTTGTTGGCCAAGTTTGAAGGGCCTACATAGACACACACACACACACACACACACACATATATATATATATATATATATATACATTCGCAGAAAAGATGGCCCAGAGAAATTAAATTATTTGTTAGCAGCAAAACAGGCTAAAATGTAAACCCCATGAAGGGCATCTAGAAAAAGCGAGCATGACAACAAGGACATACAGATTACATAATATACACACACATACAGACATACATGTGTGTGTGTGTATAGATGGGGGCAACAAGTGAAAATCCATTTGTTAGAGGAAATCGTGCAAAAAGCTTAAATACAAAGCTTAAACATAAGTAGCAACAAGCAACACACACAGACTCAGCTGACCCGACTGCCAACCACACACACACACGCACACACACACACACACACACACATACGCACACACACACACACGCTCACACACACAGAAAGTGAACATTTGGTTATGCATATGTGGAGCAGGGACTTAGGCTGGGGCCAAAGTCTAAATGAAGCTGCCTTCGTCTGCTTTTTTGTTGTTGTTGGCTTTGTTGGTTTTGTTGCTTTCGCGTCTTACCTTTTAGCGTGTTTCACCGTTCGTTTCTTCTTTATGGCAGCCTTCGCATAAAATGAGCAGCCATCTACATACACACACATACACATGTGTGTGTGTGTGTCTTGCTCGTTTCCCTTGGGTAAATTTTCGTATTTTATATGTATGACCAAGAAATTTTCAAACATTATTTTTTAATTTTATACAAGCATAAAATGTTTTTCTTTTTTTGTTCATCTTTACCTTCATTTGTGCTTGACTTAAGCTGAACTGAAAAGAAAAAGGATTGGCTGGCTCCAAGATTGGGCTGCCAATGTGCATCAGTTGTGAAAAGTGCCTGAAAAATGCATAAAAGCCAACTGCTGCGAAACTCTGGCTGGGATTAGCCCAAGAATCCGATGTCAGTGGATAAATCAAGTTGTGTGTTTTACGATCAGTTAAACATTAACATTTCTGGACGGATATGGATAAAAGACAAAAAGAACTCATATAAAGGCCAAGTTGCTGAAAAAAAAGAAGAAAAATTCAGTAAATGGTCTAGAAGAGGTTGATATGGATATGGATAAGAGCCGGTTAAATGTAGATAAAACATTTTTATAGTTGTTGAAATTGAGCTAGATGATAAAATAAATTTGCATATATGAGTATACAGCAGCAATTATAGAAGCCCATCAGATAAGTGGAGCATATAATGAGTGTAGATAACACCGTGTAATATGTACGGTAAGTCGTAGATAAAAGCGAGAGCGAGTCCGTGACTGATAAGCCCAATGTGTTGGACACGTTTAACAGCCAATAGACACAATTAGTTCGCAGTTCTCTGATAAGGCAAACACGATTGGCCGTCCAATGTACAGGCGAGAAGTTCACTGACTTATCACATTTATACATCAAAAACACACACTCGGCGTTGGCATGAAACTTGGATATAACTCAAAGTCCTCAAAAAATCGAAATCATCAAAAGAATTTATTAAATTGCTAGCTTAATGCAAGTAATCACAATAAATAAATCCGCTGCACAGTGGTCAATCTAATGATATTATAGAAATTGCCATTATTTCTTTATCGATTGAGGGAGGTATTGCAATACAGGTCACTTGGAACTTATCTTCCGATCGAGTGTTCTTACGGCAACCATATCATATATTGTTGTGATCCGGGCTATTTACTACCTTCAACAAAATGATGGATATATCGACTCGGTTAGTGATGACTTCAAAACAAAATTGAAATGAGATCGAAAGAGTTTTAAACACAACATTATCTGATTCAAAATCGTTGATAGTTTTTATGTTTATTGGCATTACTTTTATTGGCGAATTATCAATGCAAAAATGTACTAATAAGTATACAAATATATTCAAACTTGGCCATATCATTTATATATCTATATATATGTTAGTATTTGTTTCTTCAGATTTTCAAATATATTAATTGAATTTCTTTGGATTTATGTACTGTTTCTGCTCTATAAGCGCTTTTGGGCCACTGTAAGCTGGTCAGTTTGGTCGCGACAACAAAAGTAAGTCGCCAATATCGATAATGATAAGATTAATGAATTTGAGTTTTGGGTTTTGGGTTTTTGGATTTTGGTTTCTTGTTTTTGTGGTTTGTGTGCAAAGCCTGCCTGCGTTGCGTTAGTATTAATCGTATAAAGCATATAAAATGTTGCCAAAACACTGCCGGCGACACAGTTGAACGTTTGCCCCGCACGAGGCAGCAACACATTCAGGCAGAAAGAGATAGCAATGGCCGCGTGTCATTGGATTGGTGGTGCTGGTGGTGGTTGTGGTGCAAGCGTTAACTGGACGCGACTGCTGATTCTATTGTTAGCTGGCATTGGGATGAGTCAGCAGGTTAGTTATTATTTTTGGCCAGATAAGCGTTAACCTAGTTTAATCGGTAAATCACAAAACACATTTTTACAGACGCCTATCGCCGACAATTTCTACACAGCCGGCGTTGTTGAATTTCGTCAGGCAGTTGGCCGAGATGCCAATGCAAATCTAGCTGATAATCTGGCTGGATATTTGTCGATTATTCAGTCGTCCGATGCGGATGACGATGACGATTCCGATGCCGATGTTACGGATATTATTGTTTTTCCGGAGGCAACGCTAAACGGACTCGACACGCTCAGCTTTGTGCCAGCGGTAGAGGAGCAGGTAACACCCTGTTTATCCGATCCAAATGCCAGTTACTATGCCCCATTCCTGGTGGCGATCTCCTGCGCAGCTCGCACTGCCCGCAAATACATTGTGATCAATATTAGCGAACAGCAGCTCTGCTCCGCTACGCCCGAGGATACGCGTCCTTGTGCACCCAGTGGCTATAATGTGTTCAATACGAACGTGGTCTTTGATCGCAGTGGATTGGTCGTCTCCAGATATCGCAAGGTTCATCTCTATGGTGAGCCAAGGAATACCACATTTGTGCCCGAGTCCATCAGCTTTGAGACGGACTTCAATGTCACATTTGGACATTTTGTTTGCTTCGACATCCTGTTCTATGTGCCCGCCCATCAAATGGCTGTTGAGCAGGGTATCACGGATTTTATCTTCCCCAGCATGTGGTTCTCCCAGCTGCCATTTCTCACTGGTGAGTCTGAGTGATATTTTTCGTATAGTTGTGATTCGAGTACATCTTTGCTTTCCCGCTGACAGCCGTCCAAGTGCAGCAGGCCTGGGCATACAGCAACGATGTCAATCTATTGGCATCGGGTGCCAGTCATCCGGAGTACGGCAGTTCCGGTACAGGAGTCTATCATGGAAGGGCGGGCACCATCACCAGCATGATGAAGACGGGAGAAGGCGAGCGTCGCTTGTATGTGGCTCGGGTGCCAAAATATGCAAAGGCTGAGCCAATGCAAAGAGCGCGACGCTCTCTAAGGCAGACAGAGCTTCCCAACTCCCCGACCAGTACAGATTTCCAAATGAAACAGGATTACGTAGATCAATATGAGAGTAAACTGCTGAAGCTGGACGAAGACAAGGCAATGGGAACTGTGAAAGAGGAGGTGTGCCATGGCAAGTTGTGTTGCCACTTCGAGCTGGAGTTTCGACAGTCGAAGGATGGATTACACAATGGTAGCCTCTATAGCTATAGGCTGGCCGCCTACGATGGCTGGCGCAATGAGCAGGAAGTGGATGCCAACTATGTGCGAAATTGTGCCATCTTCGCGTGCAACGGACCCGACATCATGGATTGCGGACAGTTGCTTGATGGCAGTCGAGCTCAGTTAATCTTCAGCCGGTTGGTCATTGAGGTGGACTATCCTAAGTCGCGGGAGTTTCTGCTAATGACCAATAGTGTGCGGGAAAATCTGCTGCCTCTGGAGCCGGCACAGTTTAAGTTTGCACTCTCGGAGCTCAAGAATGGGTGAGTAGCTCTTTCATAGTTTCAAATGTATTTGAATGTTTTCAAAATGTACTCAATTTTTGAATTGATTTTCATTCTTGCAGCAATCAGGTGAATGCACGTTACGCATTGGCTGACGACGTGGAGGTGTCCGATCTGCTCACTTTTGCCATCTATGGCAACTACTATGATAATATTTGCACCTTTGGCGTTGGCACCCAGCAGCAGAGTCTCGACTGCGGCTTCAAGCCAACTGATGATGGCGCTGCTCAGCTTCACTTGAGTTTTGGCTTTTGGCTGATTTTGGCTCTAACGTTCCCATTTCATTCAGCAAGTTAGAGAAACAAGTTTTCTTCGTCTTTCTTTCTTGTAAATTATAATAATCATATTCTGAGGCTTCTCTTCATTACCTAAGCTGAGCAGAACTCACTTTCATATATAAATATATCATGTATAAATAATTTAAGTTTGCTAAGAGTGTCTAAATTAAGAAAGTCAAATAAAATAATTGGGTGTATGACGAGTACGACTCTAATAGTAACTGCCACGAAAAGTATTCCTCAAGAAAATCAAAAATGTACCCTGATTTACGCGATTTCTGTTGAACTCTTTCAAAGCCGCCTAAAAGTATGCAGATCGAACTATGGAGCAGAGTCGACCATCTCAGACAGAGACACTCGAAATGAGGAGCATAATGGAGCTTAAAATCGGAGCTTAAGCACCGATTTACACAATCCGCAAGATATACACGAAATGCATTCGTTTTGGATTCATTTGGTGCATCGCCGCCGCATTTTGCTGCTGCTTTCAATTTCGAATTGTTATTTATGCATCTGTCGAAATATGTAAATTCCGAATTCCGATCGAATGCAGCAGTTCATGTGCACTTTTGTCGGATGACGTCATTAAGATGTGTGCACGCTGAAAGCTAAATACCCTATTTCATATGCTATATGTGTAATATTGATATGAACTAAACAATAACCATACATGAATTGGCCAATGTGGAAAATTTCAATTCGTAACAGTTTCGAAGTTACTTCATTGTTGCAGTGGCAAAACTTGTTTACAAACTGCCACCGAAATTGCCTGAAAAAAATGACGATGAAAGCGATAAACGAAGATGATAAATGAACTCAGAAAGTAATGGTGAAAACCCGTTTCTATTCTTCGATTTTCGCTTAGAATCTTCCAACTTTATGCTCAGCTACAACTTTATAATCGAAACTGAAATACGAAGCCAGAAAGCCAGACATCGTTAAGATCTGTTCTATTCTTAGGTTTTCGCTTAGAATCTTTCAACTTGATTCTCTTCCACAAGTTTATGGTCTTTGCGAAAGCAACAAGACACGGCGAACATAATCCGAAATGTGTCCGATACGAAACGAGAGAGATAAGATTGAATTCAACTCTTTATCTGACTCTGTCTGTGTCTCAGTCGCTGCCTCTCTCGGTCTCAGTCTCAGTCGCAGTCTCTCTCGGTCTCATTCTCAGTCGCTGTCTCTCTCGGTCCCAGTCTCAGTCGCAGTCTCTCTCGGTCCCAGTTTCAGTCGCAGTCTCTCCTGCTCTTGGTCTCGGTCTCTGTTCTGTGTTTTCAGTCTTTTGTTGAAAATCAGAGTCGAGGCGAGCTGTGAGCACAGTCTGAAGGGAACATTATGAGTGGCAAGTGGCTGCCGACTTTATTGCAGCTGCTGTGCTTCGCTGTGAGCAGCTGTAGGGCGCTGAGCACCCCTCAATACTACACAGCGGGTGTGATTGAGTTTCGTCCGGCGTTCGGCGCCGGCACTTCCGAACAGTTGCTGGAACAGAATCTCGCCGCATATCTGGAGCTGATTGCGTCGGCAAATGGCACTGCGGATATACTAGTTTTCCCCGAGGGCACTCTCAATAGCCAGTTGCAGTTGACCGTCGTACCGGCGCCGTCGAAGCGCAGTCTGTGCCACGTTGTGGTTGCACCCGCCGATGGGGTTGCCAGATTCCTGCGACAATTGGCCTGCGCCGCCGTCGAGGCGCACAGTTATCTGCTACTCAATGTGAACGAACGGGAGCGCTGCGATCCGCTGACGGACAAAGATTGCCCCGCCCGTGGCTACAACGTGTACAACACGAATGTGGTGCTAGATCGCAGTGGTGCGGTTGTGTCGCGATATCGCAAATGGAATTTGTATCTGGAGCCGCATCTAAACCGCACCAGGCAGCCAGAGTATGCTGTCTTCGAGACGGACTTCAATGTGACCTTCGGGCATTTCATTTGCTTCGACATGTTGTTCTACACGCCCGCTCAGGAGCTGGTCGAGCGCTATAATCTCCGCAATCTGATTGTTAGCAAAATGTTCAAGTCGGAGCTGCCTTTCCTAACCGGTGAGTTTATTGCATATTGTCAGTCGGACAATAATAACAAAATACATATAAAACTGCAGTGGTTGACTGTGAAATACCCTGTATTACGGATCTCTTGCCGATATTAGAAATGTTTGCAAACTCAAACTCGAATATAGTTGCAAATTTAATAATATTAATATGAATATAATGCATTCATAATATTCTATATTATATTATATAGGGATATCTATTGGAGAAATCTATTCTTATTTCTTGTTTATTTGCTTTGCACAACTAACTGTAAACGACCCTTACACATTTTTATGATTAGTATTAGATTAATCTAATAAAAATAGAGAATTCCGTGAAGATTATCAGCCTTGATAACAAAGAAAATAAATACTGTCTAACTATTCCACTGTAATCAAGTAGGAATGATCTAATGGTTGGAGCTCGACTAGGAGATACCCTGATCCCAGCTGTTTAATATATCTAAATCGATGCTTATCTTATTACCAAATTCCCCTTTAATTGGTATTTGCCTCTGAAAAGTAAGTCGGCCGAGAAGAAGAAACTCTTCCCGATCCCATCAAGTATATATATATTCTAGATCAGCAACAGAGATCAAGTTTATTTCATTTGATCGATAACTTAATCTGTTAATTGGAACAGTTTTCTGCTTCAATTGGAACAGTTTTTGGAACAATTCAACGAATGTGGCTTAATTCATTTCATTCCATCTTGCATTAAGTTAAGCAAATAAGCTGCTTGTTAATTCTTTCTTTTGTCTTTGCAGCCAGCCAACTGCAGCAGGGCTGGGCCTGGGCAAACGGTGTGAATCTGTTGGCGGCCGGTGCGAGTCTGCCCCATGGTGGCATCAGTGGCAGCGGCATTTATGCTGGAGAACATGGCGCCCTGAAGCGCCTTATGGTTGGCAGCAATGCAACTGTTGGCGAGCGACAATTGTTGCTGGCACGCGTGCCCCACTCGCCGCTGGTGGAGAGCAGCGACGTCCAGTTGGATGAGGAGCGCGTGGGTCCCGCACAGCGGTCTTTGGCGATGTTGCAACAGCCGTTGCTGGACAAGTTTAATAGTTGGCGAGTGCCGTCGTCGCTCGCCGGCAGCCTGCAACAGAAGCATATTTGCCAAGCTGATCTTTGTTGCCACTTTGAGTGGCAGCTGGCGACCTCGCCGCGAACTGAACGGCTGCCGGAGTACGTTTATCGGCTGGGCGTGTTTGTGGGGCAGCGTCGCTACGAGGAGGCACAGTATAGTGTGGTTCGATTGTGCGGTCTCTTTGCCTGCCGCAATGACAGCATCAGCAGCTGCGGTCAGCTGACCGAGACCCCAACAGCCGCTGTGCAGTTCAACATATTGCGAATTAATGGCAACTTTGTGCATCGCCCGCGTCGCCTTCTAATGCCCAGCACTCTAAGTGCCTCACTCTATGCCCTGCAGTCCAGCGAAATCGAGTGGCAACAGCATGTTGACTCCGACAACAAGTCACATGTGCAGCTGCAGCTGAGAAAGCCCCATGCCCAACTGCTCACCTTTGCTATTTATGGCAACTACTTTGATGAGACACTGCAGCCGGGTGGTGGTGGTGATGGTGATGGTGATGGTGATGGAGGTGCTGCTGCAACAGCAGTTAAAGGTGTGAGTGTGTTGCAGGTGCTGCTGCTGCTGCTGGTGTTGCTGCTGACAAATGTCTTATCAGGGGGCTAACCGCTGAGCAAACACTTTGCTGATTAGCTTGAGTCCGTTTACCGTTAAACGGTTAACGGTTAACGGCGACAAACGTGGCGACTCGGAATGTGTGGAATGGTACATCACATGGAAAGAAGAAGAAAAAAAACTGGAATAATTGAAATGAAACAAGACACAATATTAAACACAGCATTATAAATGTGTAAAGATCAAACAGAATCTTGGTTCTGAGTTTAAAAAGTATTTTCAAAATGAGCAGGTTGATGTGATTATGAAAGTTAGCTTTGTATTACATGGAAATCAGTTTTTAAGTTGCTGCTGTACAAATGTTACCGGGTATCTCATTGTCATAAATCGCTATTTTTTTTGTTTTTTTTTTTTAATGTATTTACATTTTTTTTTAATCTGAGTAAAGAATATCTCTTAGTCAGAGATTTGATATAATATAATCTAATATATTCGTTTGTAAAGACCTTGATAGGTCTGGGTATATGGTATTACTTAAGTTCATTAATAGATATCAATGTATTTAATCAAATTGAATTTGTCAATAAATTATGCAGCCAATATAAAATATAATTCGATTTAACTTGAAAACTGTTATAGTTTACTATGCATTGAAGTAGATGGAATAATTGGCAATTGAAATAACTAAAAGTCTGCAGTCATCGTTGGTCGCAGGCATAATTCCCTTAGTTCACATTCAAATAAATATATAAAGATATGGCTATCAACCTATGTAATTAATCTTTGATATTCTGAGCTGAAAGCTCACTTTAAAATCAATAATAAATTTGAATTAAAAATTATATTAATTACTAATGACTAATCTGCATTTTAATGCCATAAATGTGGAATTTATAATTTTGCAGAATCAGCCGCATTGCAGGATCTTCTTAAGCAAATGGATTTGGTTATTTTTGTCGCCTGGCAGCTCATTAAAAACGAAAGCGCCGCATCCTATTTTGTGAGTGGTTTTATGTGTGTGTGAGTGTTTTTTATGGTGTATTTTGCGGTGCATTCCGAGAAGCTGCATGCTGCATGCTGCAGTTGATGTTGCTGTTGCTGTTGTTATTCAAATAGCGGACAAATTGTAATTAAGTGACACACACACACACACACACACACACACAAAGACAGGCGTGTGTAAGCGAAACCACAGGCTTAATTATTTGGTTATCCGTAAATTGATGGTGAATGTTGGCAGGTGGATTTTGGTGCTCCCATCGAAAATGGTGTCAAGTTCATGTCATTAAGGTGTGATTAACAAAAATTAGTTGCTGCTTAACACAAACACACACACACAATCACTCACACACACACACATATGCACCATAGAGCAACAGTGTCCCTAACCATGTGTGTGAGTGTGTGACTGGAAAGCAGCGCTGCCTCAGCCTCCCACAAAACTTTCAGACGACAGGTGTAAAAGCAGCAAGCAACACATGAAGCTAACTGCGACGCCGGCGTCGCTGCCCATGCGCTCGTGCAGAACGTTTTCATTCATTTCAACTGTTGCGCTCCTCCACACTTGTTAGCACGATGCGACTGGAAAGCCGAAGAGAGACGAAAAGAGGCGGACTGCTTCCAAGCAGTGGAGACCGCACCTGAAGCAAAGGGCCCTACTGTGTGTGTGAGTGTGTGCGTAGATTGTATGAGTGTGTAGACTTTTTAGGCGCCATATGTGTTAGTGTGTGTGTGTGTGTGTGTGTTGTGTTGTGTGTTGTGTAGACTGCGTTATATTTGCTTTAAATTATTCAGCATTTAAAATATTTTATGAAGCACAGAGCAAAAAGCTGCTGCTGCGCTTTTGCCAGCTGAAATGCAATTAAAAAGCGCAGCAGCAGTAACAGCAGCAGCAGCAGCAATAGCAGCAGCGGCAGCTAGCAGCAGCGAAACAGACGAATCAACACGCACAAACACACACACATACCGAACACACACACGCACGCACACGAGGAGCTTCGGCTGGCATTCGTCAGCGCTGCCAGTGGCGCTGCCGTCTTCGACAGCGCAGTCGAAGCCAACGCCAACGTCAAACGCGTTGCGTGGCCGACGTTCGTCGCATTCTGCGACAGCTTTTCGGCGCGCGTTTAACATCCAGTAGGCGTTCAGCCTCCGAGCGGATAACATTGCGTTGTTGTTAGTTCTTGGAGTTAGCCACATTCGTTTCTCACTCAACATTCAACAGCCCCAACTGAAATTCAAACTTCGAGTTCGAGTTCGTTTCTTGAGTCGTGCGTCAAATCAACTAAAAAGCATAGCTTCAAAGCACTTTGAGCCAGTGGACGGACACACGCTTAAATACACATTTTGTAAATTCAAAAAATTAAAAAAAAAAAACATATTTTCGAAATTTTGAATATCGTTTTCAGCACGTGCCTGAAACTCTATCACAAATAGTCGTTCCTCTTTTTTCTTGTTTTTTTTTTGTCTTTTTTTGTTGTTGTTCTTGGTGTTAAATCTACTACAAGTTAAACAAAAAATATACAACAAAAGTCTTTTTGTTGTTGCATCTTCAATTTTTTTCTGTGCGAAAGAGCGAGAGAAAAAAAGATAGAGAGAGAGAAAGAGAAAGAGAGAGAAAGAGAGACAAAAGTGCAAAGAGTGCAACAGCAATTGCAGCAAAGAACAGCGAAGAGAGAGCAAAAGGTAAATTAAATTTTGTAATATTTCAATATTTTCACATTCCAAAAAATGAATGAAAAATCGGTGAATAAAAGTTTTGATGTGAATAAAATTTGCTTTTTTGTTATTGTATTTTTTTTTAATAGTTTTTTGTAACAAAATTTGAAGGTCAGTGCTGGAAAATTTGTGTGGGTGTTCTTGCAGTGCGTGCATAATTGTGAAGGACAGATCCACATCAAGGTGGAGTGAGTTGAAAAGTAAAATTTTGTGGAAGCTCAAATTTAAACGGATGCCTTGCCAAATGCAGTTCACTTAAGACTTGTTCCCAATTACGAAACATGAAATGAGTCAAATAGTGTTGTAAAGTTTTATGATTTTTATGATTTTTACGTTTTTAATTTGTGGAAATTTGGATCTTTGATATGAGTTTCAAAACAAGTGTTGAAAATCAGTCTGAAATCTGTCTTTTTATATTCTTGCAAACGCTATTAATGCCGTGCAGCTTATAACGTATTGAAAGAGATATCTCCAACCCCACATATATATATATATATTCTTGATTTATTATAGCATCACTAGCCGAGTCGATATATCCATTTCCGTTTGTCTACCAGTTTGTTCATATTTCGGTCTGTATGCCAATTGGTAGTTCATTTTCAAAACTTTGCTGACGAAACTTGCAATATTTTATTGCAAAAATAAGATTTAAGCAAATAATACCAAAACATATTTGTGCATATTGAAGCTTTATTTTAGAGTGATATTATTCAGCAGAGGGTTTCCTGAAAATTCCTTTTAATATCAATCAGCATTTGAAATTTCCTTCAAGTTACATTTATAAAATTGGTTAAATTGGCAGAAAGTTTGTGCGCATCTTCTACATTTATTTGCCCATTATTGTTATTAGTTTGACTTCTGTTTTTTTTTTCTGGCAATTTGGGTTTACTTTTGCTAAACTATGTTTTTCTCTTCATTTCTTTTGGGTAACTAATAAAACGCTTCCTTTTTGTAACTAATAAAACGCTTTCCACTTAATGTATTTTCATTTCAACTTTGTCTCTGATTTGCTTTCTTATTTCTTTTCGGCATCCTTTTGCCATTCCCCTTTGTAGTTTGCTTTTGTGTTAACCTTTATTTTTTCGGGGCACTTCCGTTATCATTGGCCAACAACTGGTTATCTGCTGCTTCCCTCAACTGAAGACCCTAAAGATTTCCGCCACGGACACAGCTGCTCTGTGGCGCCATCTGTTGCTGCGATTCGTTACATTTCGGCTTTTTCTTTTCTCATATTCTTTGTTTCTGCCTTGTCTTCTTCTTGCTGCCCGCAACTGATTTGCACAGTCTGCGCTCAATCTTTCAATAATTTATGTACTTTTGCCTGTATCAAATCAATTTTGGCAAACTGTGCGTATGATTAATATTTGAAAATATGTGAAAAACAAAAAGCAGAAAATTAAATCAAAACAATTAGGAACCGTGGCAATCGCAATACCAACGAATGCCCCATACTCTTCTCAGCTATACAACTTTTATTAGTTGCGATTCAAGAATTACAATAAAATGATTAAAAAGCCATGCAGATATTTATTTTTTTCTAATTTTCACAATTAATATTATTTTATCTGCTTTGAAACTCATTGGGAAATAAGGCATTTCTGACAACTAAATTTGTCTTAACGTCACATTGAAATGTGAAAAAATAGTGACTTAAAATAAGTGAAATTAAACAAAATTCAATTGCGTGAAAGCAATGCGAAATGAGAGCAGAAATCGCTAGTGTTTTCTTTTTTTTTTGGAATCTGGAGACCTATGAAAAGACGAGAAACGCTTGCTGGCACCTCCGACGCTGTGCTACATTGTTTTTGCCTTAATTATTGGCCAAACGGCATTAAATTTTCAAGTATTTACTAAAGCTAAACAAAACACAACAAATCTACAACAACAATAATAACAACAACAACATAACAAAAATATAAAGAAAAATTCTTTTGGTCGATTTTTGCTCGATAATTCACTAAATAAACTCGAAACGGCAACTGTTTGCCCCTTGCCCCCAGCCAACCCCTTACCCAATAATGCACACGTTGATATTTCTTTCGAGACGTGTGTATTTGGACCATGTGCCGAAAACAGTTTTCAGTCAGCTTCGATCGCCGAATGGGGCTATATAATAGTATCGATCGTAGAGCGGGTCTCCAACCAGTCAAGCATAAGTATTAATATGTATGTATGTACTCGTATTCATATAAATGCAGTCTGTATTCGGGCATTTGGCAATCGACAGTTTAAATACAACTACACACATAAATATCTATATATCTAACCTCTCTATTAAATAAACTTTTCTCCGAGTTTATATGAATATTTATATAAACTATATACATATATATATATATAGTATATATAGTGATATACACAAATAATTGTATTGTTATGCGGCTAATGAATTGATTTGAAAGCCATTCCGCCAGCATATTTACATAAACAATGAACTTGTTGTCGTTGTTTTTGTTTGTTTGTTTGTTCTAATGAACTTTAAACTTTACCGATTGGAAGATTTGCTACGGAAAATGCGCGCACAAATTTCCGTTTTCCAAAAATGTTCAAGGGGAATGGTATTGGGTATGGGCAAATGGGCAAATTGAATTAGCCGTAAATGTAATACGCACAATAAAGAAGAAATGCCGAGAATTGTGTATCTATTTGTATATACATACAGTTGTATTGTATATATATATATATATATATATATATATATCTGTATATCTGTGTATGTAGATGCACAAAATATATATATGTCGATATCTGTCCGACAAACAGACAGCGACATGTAAACAGAGCCGAGCCAAAGGTAACAAATGGATTTTCAAATAAATTAACTGGCGGTCAATTGTAAACAGCGAGCGAGAGAGAGAGGGAGAGCGACGAAGAGAGCGAGAGAGAGAGAGAGTGACCGAGAGAAAGAGAGAGAGAGCGAGAGCGAAAGAGAGAGTGCATTGCACTGGTTACGGCTAGATATGCGCGGGTGGTTCAAGTATAATTCCCTTCGACTTAAGTCGATTTGATATTTAGCTAATGCATTTTGTGTATATCCAGATCAGATTAAATATGTATAAAAAGGGTATCATAAAGTTGTTGTAGCTGAATAGTTTCTTAGCCAGTGTGCTCGGTTTTAATGCAAAATTAAATATTGATTCCCATTTTGATAACTAAAAATCCTTAGTCGCAATATTCATTTTTAGTTTCTCACTTTGTATGCATTTCAAATATACATATGTGTATTTGTGCAGAGGAAAACTCTTTAACCGTTAAGCCCTGCTTGAAGCTTACGAGCTGAGTTGGCAAAAGTTGGGCAACAATGTGCAAAAAAAATGTGTGCAACAAAAATGTAGCTGAAATTCAACTATTTAAGCATTATTAAAATCCGCATGGAGTCTAAAGGCAGTTAAAAAATGTATTTAAAAAGCAAAGCATTTGGAAACAAACATATTTGAAAATTAGCTTCGTTGTGAAACAAGGTCGTCAGTTTTTTGAACTGCCCTCGAAGAGCGAGTGCAGTTAAGGTGCAGCAGTTTCTGCTGTAACCGCTTCAATATTTGGCTTGATACATTTTTGCGGTTTTTGGCCAAGGTAAAATTGTGAAAATACAGCAGTGGCTTAAAAGTATAAGGAATTATTTATTTAACATGCAACTGAAGCGGCAATGCTCAGAACCCATTCAGTTGCCGCTTGTAGCCACATTATCTACCCGATAGTAAAAAATATAATTAAAATGGATAAATATAAAATGCATACACTCCCAAGAACGTAGTCGTTCATGCTTAAGTTCTGCTACAAAAACAAAAAGGAAAATGGAAAATGAAAAGCAAAACGAAAATGAAAATGAAAACAGTTTGGGTTGGGTAAAAAACTTTCGACAAACTTTAAGAAACTGAACGGAATTTTGGAGGAAATTCCTTTTTGAACATGAGTCGGCCTCTAGATGAATACTGTGTTCATGTTTTGAAATACAAAGCGCAGTCTTAACTCGAGTGCTCAGATTAAATGTTGTTTTTATAGTCGAATAGAGGGTATCTGCTAATCGAGCACATTACACTGTTTTTTTTCTAAATCTGTTGTTAGCATTTCTGTTGTGTTTTTTTTTTTTTTTTTTTGGTTAGCTGGCGATCTGAAGGACGGCTACCACCCCACGAGCATTTCAATTAACGTCCCATGTGGTTCGCCGGGCTATGGAGAAGTTTGCGCTAAATGCGGGTCAGGGGTGTGTGTGTGTGTGTGTGTGTGTGTGGAGGAGGAAGTGGCGGGGGGATGCGGTATGGGAGAACACAGACGTTCCGTATGGACTCAATGCACAGCTAGTTCAGCTAGGTTACCCGAGAGGCAATTCATTAATTACACAATTAGAGCTTGCATTGAAAGGGGGGGCGGGCAGTGTTGGTTGAGGTGTAGTCGAGAGGGGTTTGTGGGTGGTGGGGTTGCAGCAGCAGCATACCACATAGCAATTCATGGAAAATGTTTTTTTTTTTTTTTGTATTTTTGTATTTTCCCCTAGTATTTTCAGTTTTTTGCTCGATATGCGAAATACACAGAAAGTTTACCTTGAAATATGCCATGTCGTTTTGGCAGTCTCCTCCATTCCTCCCTGCTCCATCAGTGCATCAGTTTGCCATTGAGATATGCTGAATACTCATTGGACATCTTGTTTGCCATATCTATATAAAAAAAGTAGTAGTTGTACTTCAAAAACGTTGCCTTATCTAATTTGTGCTGTCAAAACATTTCAAGCGAGTGCAGCACAATTGAAGAAGTTGAACCACTGTGAAATATGAGTATGAGCTTGAGTATAAATTACTAACAGCCAAAGGATACTAGAGCATTACTTGACTCCTGTCAATTGCTATATACTTTAAGACAGATAATTATATATATTGTTTTTGTTAAAATACCAAAGTGCGCAAGTTTAATTATATTCCATTTGCTCGAGCTGCTTGCATTCGCGCTATGTTTAAGTTGAGGGCAGGTTT